TTTGGGGGGGGGGGGGGGGGGGAGTACCACACACACTAGATACTGCATTGATAAAATATGTATGTCAATTTGTGCAGAGTACAACACAAGCTTGTGGCGCAACCCTTTAGTTCTAACTATGTGCACCAATATTGGGTGTGGAAAGAACAGAGAATCCAAAAGGCATTTATAAAATTTAACCCACTAACTTCCCCCAAAAGTAGATCAGAAGGCTACAACTGATCACAGGAGCAGACGACTCCCTCCCATCTTTCTCCCTATGACCTTGTGCGTCTCACCTTCTAGACTGCCTCCTATCCCAGCATTTAGGAGGTCTGTCTTAACCCATGTGGCTAAAGTGCACAAGTCATTTGAATTTATCTCACTACACAGAATAATCCAGTTTTGGGTTTGCTTTCACTGGGCTAAACTGTGCCAGGTCAAAGCACATTAGAATGAAACTGCTGCTTAAAAGACTGTTTTAGCAATAATCCAAATAGCACAACTGCAGGCCCCTTCACACAAGTTTGGTTCTCCATTTAAAAGGCAACTATGAAAGTTGTGCCAATATTGCAGCATTTCCTCTTCTTCCATCATGCTCAAATGAAAGGCAACTTTCACATTAATTGGTTCTCCACATACACCAGTGTGGTGAATCGCTTACTGCATAAACAAGGAATCAAATGCAGAAGAGCATCAACCGAAGACAGAAGATGCATACCTGTTCTTAACAATCCAGTACTTCTTTCCATCTACATCTTCTCCCTCAAAGCCATATCCTACAACCAGAACACCATGATCCAGATCTTCACTGCTACAGTCTGGCTCATAATAAATACCTAAAAAATGCAGAGGTAAAATTAGGACTCCAATATTTTAAAGAAGGGAAATAATAAAAAGCAGCATTCTATGAAATCATGGTAAGTGATGTGTTTTCAATCAAGCCACCAGTTATTACCATTTAAAAACAGGAGGAAAAGCAACTGAAGGACTGCAGCCTATAAATTCAGGTCATACCGGAAGGAAAGAAGAGGTCATGGTCAGGTCTTCTAAAATGCAGTTCTGCACAAACTGCAATACTACATTTTTGCAACAACTGAACTAAAGAGCAATTAAAACTGAACTGCCAGATGCAGAGCACAACTAGATCTTAAGTTGTCAGACAATACTTACCTGATTGATAGAACTGGAATGATGAATGGCCTGCATCAATAGCAACAGAGACTGGACCCACGGCTGCCACTGCTTTCATTAGTGCTCTTTCGTGTCCTTGTGGGATGTCAACAAAGCCAGTGTCATTAGCAGCATTGTATTGTGCCTTATACTTGCAGTCTTCATCATCCTATAGAACACAGGATAAGAAGTGTTGAGTTGCTATGAATTTCTTTGTTCAGTTTGGCAGCTGGACGTTCTGAACCTGCCTGAACAATCTTTTTTTTTTTTTTTAAAAAGATTAAGGACTTTGAATCCTTACATCAGAGTAAGATTGGAAACAGTGCCAAATTCTCAAAAAGATTTGACAAACACATTCTGAAGACATGCAACCAAGCTTGGGAAAGCCACTCAGCCTGAAATAGGTGTTTTGCCCCAGAGAGATGGAAAAAGCTGTACTGAGAAGCTATTAGCTCCTTTTCTTGAAATGGGAGACAGGCAACACAACAGCTGATTTAGAAACAAGGAAGAAAGCAAAACGGCATTTTGGCTGCATTAATAGCCCACGAGGAAGGATTAGGAAGGGGAAGAAGAGTGGCAAGGAAGCTGCATTGTTCATTAGGAAGATGGCAAGAAGAGGAAAAAAGGGGGGGAAGCCAATTTAGAACCCCACCCCCCACGCACAAGGAAAAAAGCAAGCAAGAAGCAGAGTACCTTACAAGAAAGAACAAATGAGTGTCAATGGAATGCATAGGACCTGAATGTCTTGAAGCTCCATATCCACTCATCTCACCTATGGGCAGGGATCTACCTAAAAAAATCAGTTCTACAGAAACTGCAGAGAAACCCAGCTTTGACACAAAGCAATCAATCAATAAAATAAGAGAGATGGGGGGGGAGGAAAAGCCCAGTACTTGTTCCAGAGAATGACCCAAGATTCTTTCATTAAGAATAAAGAGATAGAACTAAACCAGGGCTTAAGATGACAATAAGGGATGGTACCACATGACGGGAAATTTGTAGATAATACTCTTAGGTCTCCCAAAACCTTAACTGATTATACAGTTAGTTAACCATTTTGCATTCCCTCCCTCTATTTACAAAATCCTATGACTTTCAAACTGGGAATCATCTGTGGACCAAAACAAAAAAAAAAGACTGCCAGGTTAGAGGAAGAGGGAGTTCATCTTATAATAAGAGTTCCGTTAATCAGGATCTTTCAGACTATATAGCTAAATATATGCTCCTGTATCAGATGCATAAGAGCTGAATTATGTTTCTCCTACCAAGCCTACACATACTATTAATACCTGGAGTGCAAGCAAAGCACTGATTTCTCCTTTGTGGGGAGGAGAGGCACAGAAAGAGCTGATGTGTCAAGTATATTACAGAATAGGTTAGAGAGACTGCCTTGAAGCAGCAAGTGTTTAGGGACACATTTAAACAAAATTAAAAGGAGTTCAGGAGATGCAGGAACACGGACTCCAAACTATTCCAAATTATAAGTCTCAATAGAAAAAGCTTACAAGTGCTACAAGCAGCGTTAAAGAAAAAAAGGAGGCCACAAAGAGTTGAGTGGCCATTTGCAAGGATGATATCCCCAGCTAAAAAAACAAAAACAAAAACACACCACACAAAAAAGCCTAAGCATCTGATCTAGTATTCATAGAATCACAGAAGCAGGGTCGAAGGGACCTTGTAGATCTTCAAGTCTGACCCCCTGCCTGGGCAGGAGAAAAACTGGGCTCAGATGACTCCAGCCAGGTAGGCATCAAGCCTAGTCTTAAAGACCACCAGGGTAGGAGCCAGCACCACTTCCCTTGGAAGTTGGTTCCAGATCCTAGCTACCCTAACCATGAAGTAGTTCTTACGGATGTCTAATCTAAACCTACTCTCCAACAACTTGTGGCTGTTATTCCTTGTTATGCCAGGGGGCGCTAGGGGAAACAAG